TCATTTGTACAAAAATATTAGCAAAATATTTATGGAATATTTTCTAAATATATTCGAAAGTATACTTTCGAATGTATCTTCACCTTGTACTGTCTTGTCGACATCGATCTTTTGCGCCTTCAGTCTTTGTCGCAAAACGTACAACATCTCGCCGCCCATATTTAAATACAGAATGGGTGTTGAATGCAAAGACATTTTTGCAGAAGCGATCTTTGTTTGACAATTATTGTCAGCGATACATGTATCGAATAAGTACACGTACGCCTTACTGAAGCAAGTAAGTCGATGCGTCGTCTTGACGACGTAAGTGTACATAATACTTCTAACTATTACGATCGGTACCGAGACTGCACGAAAAAATTTACGTGCAAACCTTTCTTAATAGAGACTTAAAAATCTTATGCAGAAACGTTTTATTAAAAATTTTATAAGATTCGCAAAAAACTTGAGAGATGTATATATTTAATCTATTAATATGTTTTTTCTTGATGAATATTATTCGATAAGAATTAATGTTAAAACTTGTCATACAATACAAAATCTTGCAGCAATATTGTTGCAACGTTGTAATATTGCTGGAATGATTTGTGCTGTGTGGAAAACAAGTTAAAATAAGCGATCCCTAGAAACATTTTCTCAGAATTTTTGCATGAATTAAAACACTTCAGAAATATTGGAAGGAAGTCTACAGCTTTTTTTATAGAATTTTTTTTATATGTAAATTTTGAAATATTCTGTGAATTATAAGATTTTTTATTTTTATAATTGCGGACAAAATATCGTGAATTTTTTTAGATTTTATAAGATTTTATTAAAAATTATAAAATGAAAAATCTTAGAAAACTTAGATACATGAAAAATCCTAGAAAAAAAATGTACGTTTTCCATCACTTCTGATAAAAATGTTCCAATTTGTATAAAAAAATTGGAGAAATTTAGAAACTTATTTAAAAAGTTACAAAATTATTCACAAATTTTGAAAAAATTTGAAATTTGTATAATATTAAAATACATGAAAAATTCTGAGAAATTTTTTATCAGGGATGAAATAGAAAATCGTTTACTCTGGAAGAAATTTTACCTCGATATTATTTTGACAATACGTTGCAATTATTTTAGTAATGCAACATGTTAGATTATATCTTGTTTAAATCAAATTTCCCGCGTTGTATATAGATATTTAAGTGTTGCCAAATCATCGCTAGTTACAGAAAAAAAGAATTACTAAATCAGAGACATTCTTTTGTTACTGAACTGGCGGGCGTCCAAGAATCCATCCTAACTTAATCTACGTGGCAGCAATTCTATAAGATAAAAGAGAAATAAGTGGTTTTCGTATTCTATAATTGTTGGCAATTTAATCGGGTGAGTTTTTTACTGTCTACAATCAATCAATCGTAATATCATCAGTAGAAATGTTGCTTTCGAAAGGAGTTGCATTCAACAAGTTGACTCGCCTGTCTAGTCGTTGTGTATAGATGATGCTCTTTTTTTTTGAATACCGGCAAATAATAACAATATAAAAAGAAATATTACAAATTATTTCGAAATAATATACATACAATGTAATAGGCAATATTTAATAGGAAAAACTTACAAGTTAGATGAAATATATTGAACATCTATTTGATGCAAATATTGAATTAGTATCAAATCGTGTTCAATCCGTAAGTCCGTGTGTTGGGGTTAAATTGATCCAAATATATGAACGAACGAAATATTGAAGAAATATTAGAAATACTAGAGAAATATTCTAAATATATGTATCTCTTTTAAGTTCTAATGCATAGAAATTACTATTTTAGAATTAAAGCATATTTAGTTTAAAATTATTTACAAATAAAAATTAATAACTTCGTTTACACATGAAATATAAATAATTCAAAACGTGGATTAAATTAACCCTTACGGACTAATCTGAAAATTTAAAACAAATGTACAATGTCATAGTGCTGATTATTAAAAAATTGAATGTTTTTTTTCTAGATTCTGTCCTACATAAAAGTATTACAGTAATATAATATTAAAGCATTTTTAAGAAAACAAAATGGATAAAATACAAAATATGTTAAATGCCAGATTGATTGCAGCAGGCAAGCATATTGAACTGTCAAATAAATTTATGAAATTAAAGACTGATCAGGAACGTATAGTATTTACTTTGAATCTAATGCAACAATATGATATAGTTCCTAGTGCAACTGGAATGCAAAAAAATGCCAAAGAATCTGAGAAATTGCGGGAGGAAGGCAATAAAGTTTTTGTCACAGGCATCTTAAATAACACAACATGTATCAATGCTTTGAAATTATATACGAAGAGTATAGCCTTTGCACCTTATCCATCTGAACAACTTGCTTATAGTTATGCTAATAGATCAGCAGTTTTATTTAAATTAGGCTTGTATTCAGAATGCATTCAGGATATTGACAGAGCACTAGCTCTAAGTTATCCTGATAATCTAAGAGTAAAGCTTTATCTGCGTAAAACAGAATGTTTAATGATTATGGGAAATCATTCTGTAGAAGACACACTTAAGGAGGCACAGCACTGGCTGGAGAAAATGTCTATGAATGATACAAGTCGAGAAAGATTAACAGCAAAGCTTGATGTTTTACACAATAAGACTACACAGATAAAAGTAAATAAGAATATAAAAGTAAAAACAGAAGAAGCTCCTGCTCTTCCTATTATTAAATCTCACAATAATGAAGTTCCTTGTGCTTCAGATGCAGTAGCTATAAAATATAATGAGCGTTACGGCAGACATGTTGTTGCTACTCGTAAAATTCACCCAGGGGAGGTAATTGCCGTGGAGAAACCTTATACATTAATATTAGTGCAAGAAAATACGCAAACGCATTGTTCTAATTGTTTAAGGGTGTGTTGGGCAAACATACCCTGTAACTATTGCACTTATGCTATGTATTGTTCAGAAGAGTGTAGAAATATCGAATGGGAGAAATGTCATAATATAGAATGTGATGTCTTCCCTGCTGTGCTTGAATATTCCACCTACAACCTCGATTTGTGCAGCATAAGGCTTACTGTGCTTGCTTTAAGAGAAGCTGGTAGTATTGAGGAATTAAGAGCAATGGTAAAAGAAGTTGACGAACACGATGGTATTTATACTTTTTTATAACTTATATAATATTTATACTTTTTTTCTTAAATAATGAAGTGATTCGTAATATGTCATTATTTTTCAGATCCACGAACAAAAGGTTTTTCTCGAGATGGAAAGTTACATAGCAATAGATACATTGGCGTGTATAGTCTTGTGACAAATACCGAGAAAAGATCCGTCTCTGATCTCTTCAAGAGATCTTTTGATACTTCTTTTTTTGTATACTTTTTAGCGACGCGTACTGTGATATTTGGTGCTAAATTACCAGAGGATTTAAGCGGACTGGCAAAAAACAACGATGTTACATTTATTGGTAGTCTTATTTTAAGACATCAACAAATAATCCCCAGTAATATGCATAGTGTATGATATCAGCTATGTATTCTAATACACTATATTGATATTATGTGCTTTATTTATTGTTTTTTACATCGTTCTCCGATGTGTTAATGATTTTTTAACTTTTGCTTCTTTTAAAACTTTGGTTAATTTAAATCTGATATTTGCAGTTTGGTGAAACGCAAGGTTTAGAATATCTAGAACGCGGTATAGCCGCTATGCCATTTTTTAGCTTAATTAATCATAGCTGCGATCCAAATATATTAAGACACTCGAGACCTGAGCATATAGTGATATATGCTATGTATCCCATTGAAAAGGGCGAGCAGGTATTAAGTTATTTATATCGTATAAATTGTTGATTTATTGCAGTATATGTTATCTCGTTACAGTTATTAGATAATTATGGCAAACATTATGCCGTCATGTCAAAAGCACAGAGGCAACAGAAGCTATTCAAACAGTATTATTTCATCTGTGATTGCATACCTTGCCAGGAAGATTGGCCCTTATATGTTGAATTACAGTCATACCAAGTATAATAAATAATAACTTTAATTAATAACAACACAGGTCTGCAAACTTTGAAATTTTTTGTGTTATTTGGAAAAGAGAAAAGTTTCATCCCATAGTTTTTCATGTGCTGAATCCGAATCCATAAGTGGAACTGTTCTATCACGTCAGGCTTTTGAGAAAAATAAGGTTAAACAAATTTTTATGTTAAAGTAAATAGTAAAGTATCATGTTTTATCGATATTTTTATATTAAAGCATAATTTGTTCAAGCATTAATTTGTGCTCTTTTCAAGATATCGCACATTGAATTCATCAGTTATGAACTTTAAAAATAGTAAAAAAACGTGTTTCAACTTTATTTTTCTAAAAACCTGATATGATAGAATATTTTCTTTTATGGATTCGGATTCAGCACATAAAAAAATATGGAAAACTGCTATTCTTTTTTTCCAAGTAGCAAAAATGCAGACCTGTGCAATTTGTACATTTTAATTGTGTATTTTAATAATAATATAATGTTTGATTTGTTTTGGATGTAGACTTTAGTGAAGAAACCAGAGGATAAGGCTAAGATAAAAAAGGCGTTAAAGAAATTTAATATGTATGTTGATTTAGCAACAATAGGCGACGTGCCGAACAGACCTTTTATCATTAAAGACTTGCTGAAAATGGTACAAGCATTGCACGATTGTGCGCCGATGCCTTGCGAGGAAATGAGTAATGTCATCGAAACATTAAAACGAGTATATGACTTCAATGGGAATATATGTGAGATACCACAAATACAAAAGTAAACGCGTTATATTTTTCGATTGATGAAACAACGTTACCATTTTTATTCGTGTATGATTAATAGCCAAGAAGAGCATTTTAAACTCTTTTCAGAGAGAAAAATTAATATTTTTTACGATGTATGTATCGTAAAAAAAATTTACGATTATTTTTTGGTGAAAAAATAATTTTTAAAGAGATATTTTAAAAAATATTTTAAAAAGTTTATACAGAAACAATGTTATACTCATTAAATGTAATTTTTTGACATATGTGTTATATTTTTAAAAGATTAAAGTTACGACAGACAATACTGTGCGTTTATATTTTCCTTTTCTTGTCCTATGTGAGTATTATTTCCTCATGTATCTTTTCATTCTGTTACGTATGCAATTGAAGGAAGATATAAAAACGATATAAATTGCAAATAATATTGAGGTAGTGTAAAATTGTAAAATACAACATTAAATTAAAAAATTTGATATATGATCGCCTATTTATAGTTATTTAAGTTGAGATAGTATATATTATTGTGTCAACGACAACCAAGTAGTGATTGTTAAAAGAGTCGTCAATTCAACTGATCGATGCGTTGTTCCAAGATTACTACTTAAACTTTCAAAATTCTCGCCGCTTTTGTACGTAATCCGCCACTCCACTCCTGGATATACAGGACTATGTTTTTGAAAATATTGTTCCAATACCTGCTCCGTAGTGATACCTGTTAAAATTGAGCAAACAATTATATTGAGAAAATATTCGATAGATATGATGAGAAAAAAAAGAGCTTGAAGACATTGTGAAATGAAAGTTACAATGTAAGCGTACCGAGAGAGGTTGTTTGAAGACCTTCCAGCATGTGAAAACCATCTCCGCCTTTTGCAAGGAAATCGTTTATGAACACGTTGTAAGTGGTATTCTTTTGGAGTTCACTGTACGTTGGTATTCGGCAAGCTGCGCATTGAACATGGACTGAAACTACCCTTGAGTTCCGTGGTCGATTCACGTCGTAAACCACCTGCAAAACATGTAAATTTATCTTTAACGAAACACAGAGTAGAACAATAATCAAAGTTTTAGTTCAAATAATTGTCAAGTGGAAGTCATAAAAATTAATAATTGAATAATTCTCTTTTAAAATAAAGAGATTTAAAAAAAAAGTTGAACTATATACCTGCAATCCTGAATATTGCAAATAAGCACCGAATAAATTTCCAGTAGAAGTTATGTTGTCGATGTTATGAACGCTCCACTCCAGCATTGAAAGAATTTGTTCTCCTGTCATGGAAGCTTTGACGACGACATTTCCGAAGGGCAAGACACTTATGATATCTCCTCGAGTGACCTGTAAGTAATTTTACGATAACAGTTTGCGAATTAACAGGATCCTCTGATGAAAATTTTTCTCAGAGTCTTTACACGAGAATTGGAGAACACTTTTTAGGACTACTTTTTATATATGTGAATTCTGAAATATTCTAAGAATTCTAAGATTTCTCATTGTATAATTTTTGAAAAAATACCTTAAACTTTTTTAGATTTTATAAGATTTTATAAGAAATTATACAATGAAATATCTTACGAACCTAAGAATATTTCAAAATTCATATGAAAAATTCTAAAAAAAATACATACATCTTCTCTATAGGGTATTTCTGAAAAGTATCCCAATTTGTATAAAAAAATCTGAGAAATTTTTTAAAAAGTTAACAAATTATTTAAAAATTATGAAAATTGACATAAAAATTGCGAAAAATTATATGAAAAATTCTGAGAAAAATTTTTCATATAATTTTCACAAGAAATGTAAAATGCATATCAATTAACCTGATCGTTTCTGGCTCTGGTGATGGACGATCTAATGCTGCCACTATTCTGCACTGCGATGGCGGTATCTGTCCATCCTTCCTTATTAATATGTTCTCCGGCGTACTACGAACAAAAAAAGCACATTAATCTTTATCAAGATTATTTCGTAATGTTGACAACTAGAAAGTGCAGTTCACTATATATCAGTTGGCGATCTTACGTAATCGATTATAGCATCGCAAATTAAATTTCCCATATTGCATTCTTGCCGTCTACAATTCTTACTATCTCCATCCAGAAGTACTCGTGTTTTTCCAATCACTTGCTGTTGCAACTGGTCGATGAGTTCTCTTTTGTCATTTATCATTCGTACTACATCTTCCGCCTGTAAGAAATAATATAATAAATATCATAAGCTTTTATTTTTTGGAGAATTTCTGTACATGCAATTATTATTACACTGCATTAAGAGTGTGTTTATTTATATTTATATATGCAATATATAAACATATCTCTACTCGTTTTTTTCCGTAATTATCTTTTAAAGTACACAGAGAAAAAGATTTCTTTGGATGTAATAAATTTTATCGTATCCAAATAAATTTGTTATTTGGAATGGTCCAAACAAACCAATGTTTGAATCAATAAGTGTGATTGTTTGAATTTGAAACAATGTATATATCTTTGTCTTAAATACATTATTTGTTTGAACAGATAATATCTATCTTCAATATTCGCGTGATCAACTACGGCACAAACAATTGATGTAGCACTGCTCGTTTAATTCAGTTGTTAGATGTATAAGCTATTGTTTCTATATTTTCGGTCAAAAAATGTAACGACTGTTCTAAGAAAGCAATTATTTGCATGGAATAACCTCTATGAATATATATTTTGCCATTTTCAAATAAATAATTTGTTTCATTGTTTGTATTCATTGTAACCAAATAATATATTATTTAATTGAAAGATATTATTTCAAATAATGTTATTTCTGTCAAGCAATAGAGATTTTTCAAATGAAACAACA